GTTACTATGCTTCATGGATTAGGATTTCATTTGCCTATGTTTCCATTTTTTGGCAAGAATCCTCTCCCAGATTCATTTTATTTGTATTTTAGAGAAAAGTCATTATGGAAGAAGTTTCAAAATTATTTACCCTATTGTTGACATTTATTACTAACTATGGCCTTATGAAAATTCTGTTGCCATATATTTGTTCCCTATTTTATATTTATGAAACATATTGAATCATCAACATAGTGATGTTTGGAAATTAAAACTTCAACTGTGTTATTAGAGTACAAAGTGAAAATATATTTATATTTTCCTTGGATCTCATTCTTCAGAAATAAGCTATACTATAAATTTTACACATATTCTGGATATAATTTTTATTAATATCAAACTTCTTCATAAATCAATTCTGGGTTGTGTTCTGTAATTTGCTTTATTTCCTTTGGGTTTATGGTATATCTTCAAAATCTTGTCTCATGAATTCACACAGACTTTTCTTATTTTTCTTAAGTTACATCAGTTTCCTATTTTATAAATGCAGCATAATTTTACAAGTCCTATTTAAAAAGACATTTATAAATTTTTCCTTTGACTTTAGTATTTAACAGCAGTGCTTAAATGAATGTAATTTAATAAATATATTTTAGTTTCTTTGTATGAATATCTCTCATGAATGTCTCTAGGTTCAAATTATGTGTGAATTTATAATTCAATACAAATTTTCCATTTGCCCTTTAAACATGTTTAGTTAATTATATTCTTATCTGAAATGTAGTATCAAAATATTATATTTTTATAGTTAGAAAATCTGATAGAAATGTTTATTATTGTTCAAAACAATAGAAATCTTTTAATATGCTGACCTGCCAATTGTATATTACTGTAAATTGTGCATGTCCTTTGCCTATTTTTAGTGGTAGTTTATTACTTGTTATTGGCTTATAAGAAACATATATATATTATGAAATTCTGAAATATAATATATATGAATGTAAAGTATCTTGCAAATATTTTTTATAAGTTTATTATTCAATAAGCTTTATCACAAGTTGTTTGTCCCTACACATTTCCTGAGAATTACTACCCCAAAGATATTTTACATCACTTCTACTATTAATAGGATTTTTCTGCTATTTATTTTTAATAATTGGTATTAAGAAATGGAGTCATAATTTACCTCTGTAACTTGCTCAACATTCTTATTTTTATAAACAACTTTAAGTATTCTAGATACACAGACATATGTACTCCAATTAGGTTTCCTATTTTATTATCTATCTCATTTTATTTTTCAAACAAAATAGATTATTGAAGCTAGTGAGCATTATTATCTTAGTACTGACTTTAATTAAAATGTTTCCAATGAATTATCTCTAAGCCTGCCTGCCATTAGTCTCATAGCTGAATGGAGTAGAAAAATATTGGTTTTAATTTCTTTCATGGAAACATGCTGTGAAGAAATGTGAGGCCACCTTAATTTATGCCACCCCCATCCCCCCTCAAATTTGAACGCCTGATATTTTTAATCTTGATATCAAAAGGTCTTAATAACTAAAGTTTTAAGGGCCGGGCACGGTGGCTCATGCCTGTAATCCCAGCACTTTGGGAGGCTGAGGCCGGTGGATCACGAAGTCAGGAAATCGAGACCATCCTGGTTGACACGGCGAAACCCCGTCTCTATGAAAAATACAAAAAACTAGCCGGGCGAGGTGGCGGCGCCTGTAGTCCCAGCTACTTGGGAGGCTGAGGCAGGAGAATGGCGTGAACCCGGGAGGCGGAGCTTGCAGTGAGGCGAGATCACCCCGCTGCACTCCAGCCTGGGCGACTGAGCGAGACTCCGTCTCAAAATGAATAAATGAATAAATAGATAAATAAATCAAGTTTAATTGCTTTAAATAACAAAATAAGGGAAGAAAAAAAATGATCGAAAGAGAGTTTATTATTTTGTATCTTCCTTACAATGATCAGAATCTTCTGATTAGTAAGAGTGCAGATTTTAAGATGACTGAATAGTAGATGAAGCATTCTCTAACTTAAACATGGCTTAAATGAATTGAACATTTACTACCTATTCATACACTTATAAATATCTTTAGGAGACACTAAAAACTAATTGTTTTAAAATCTTGCACAACACTTCTTACTCTAATTGGTAGAATTTGTATGTTTATATACATATAATAAATCAATGTGTATTTGCATTTTTGAGAGGAAAGATGATTCCAGCTGAGTTAGAGAAAAGTATATTACAAGCTAAAAAAAGGTATGTTCTACGGTTCTATATTTAACATGCAAACATCTTTATATACTTTACCTATTTTTATTACTGAAAAATAACTGATAAGAAAACTGCTGAAAAAAATAGAATAAATACAAAATGTGGGAAATTTCTTATAAAACTGAAGTGGTGTAATTAAGTAGCATTGCAGTATTTCTAATATTATTGGTTCTGTTAAATATGAAAGGCAAATTTATCAGGGTCATTCCTGTATGATGGGGATTTGGCCATTTCTATGTTTGTGGTGTTACTTCCTTTAAAATAAGTTTAAACAGAAATAACAATAAATAAAATTGAGAGGGAAAGGTATAAATCCACCTTACAGTTATGTTACTGTCTCTAGTGATTATGTACCTCAGAATATTTGAAATCGTTAGCTATTCAATGTCCCTAATCAAAGTTATCCAGATTTCTGACATCGAGAAGTGTAATGGGTACCCGTATTGTATACAGTTCCTGTGGACTTTATGAGATTGTAAGAATGATTCTGTTGTTTTCATCACCAGGGCCAAACTCCATTCTGTGTCTGTGCCACAGCCGGAAGCACAGTGTATGGAGCCTTCGATCCTCTCCCTGCCATTGCTGATATTTGTGAGAAGCACAAACTCTGGATGCATGTGGATGTAAGTCATCTCCTTTAGTCTGACTTATAATGTCTCTTTTTTAAAAAATCCTACAATCCTTAAAGATTCCTAACAGGCATTTCAGGCAAGTCACCAATTTCTCTGTAGCCTAGATTTTATAATGAACAAATACAGAGAAAGAGTAATCTTATTTTTATTTATTTATTTTGACAGAGACTCACCTATCACACAGGCTGGAGTGTAGTGGCAAGATCTCAGCTCACTGCAACCTCTGCCTCCCGGTTCAAGCCATTCTTGTGTCTCGGCCTCTTGAATATCTGGGCTTGCAAGCATGAGCCACCACGCCCAGCCCCCAGCTGGCTAATTTTTTTGTATTTTTAGTGGAGACAGAGTTTCACCAGGTTGGCCAGGCTGGTCTTGAACTACTGACCTCAAGTGATCTGCCCACCTCGACCTCCCAAAGAGTTGGGATTACAGGCATGAGTCACCGCACCTGGTGTACCTAGATTTATTTTTACATAGACTTACTATACCATGAAAAAGGCTAAAAATACACCAAATTATATTTAAAAGACTAAATCTCTGTTAATATTCAACCCCAAATTTAGAACATCAATGTGAAGAAAGTCAAACATGATTTGAAATTGAAATAAGACTCAGCCCATTAATATACATTTCTGTATTAGTATCTATTAAAGAAATAATAACTTTTGATGCTATTAATTTAGTATAATAACTTTCAACAAAAATTTCTTTGGCTTTGATTAGAGTTGAATAAAATTAAAGTTATATCATACAATGGAGATTTTAATTTTTCTGTAGTATAGCCTAATTTGATGCCAACTTTTAAAATCCGTCTTTGGAAATTATACAGAAAGTGCCTTCTTGAATTAATTAGGAACTTAAGACTTCACCGTGTCATGAATAGACAATGAAAATTCATGGTAGGAAAATTTTTTAATGCATTGTTTTTTAAGTAGAATAATTATAGCCAGCTTGGTAATGATCTAGCATAATAATTAAGTCTTCATCATGTTTTCAAATAAATTTAACATAGAAAAAGTAGTCAGTGTAATTGAAAAATAAGTAATTAGTATAAGAGCACATGCTCTTTGTCTTTGTTGCAGGCAGCTTGGGGAGGTGGACTGCTACTATCCAGAAACTATTCCTATAAACTCAGTGGCATTGAAAGGTAAGACCTGGGGCATTGCTTGTGAAAGCCAAAGAACCCATTTGGACTCCTTTTCTAGTGACTGTGAGTGCTAACTGGAGCTGTTTGGTCACCCAGGGCCAACTCTGTGACCTGGAATCCACACAAAGTAATGGGCATCCCTCTTCAATACTCTGCTATCTTGATCCGGGAAAAAGTAAATTATTTCTGTTTTTAATTAGCGACATAAGGGATGGCTTAACAATGACTAGATTCCTTGTGAATGTTTTAAATTAACAAAAATATGACCTCACTGAATTAAACATACTGCAGCACAATTTGCCCTTCGGAGAACTTGTTCTCCTCCTTTGATCTTTAAGTATCAGTCATTTGACAAAATCAAATGAGTATAGTGCATAGGCAGTAAACCAGCTACCTGTGGGTGGAAAGGTGTGTTTTGAGATGAAAGACGGTGAGAAGATCTTTAGAAAACTTGATTATTTATAACCTAGTTATTAAAAACATAATGTCCGGCCAGACGCAGTGGCTCACACCTGTAATCTCTGCATTTTGGGATGCCGAGGCAGGCAGATCGCTTGAGCCCAGAAGTTCAAGACCAGCCTAGGCAACTTGGTGAAACCCCATCTCCACCCAAAATACAAAAAATTAGCCAGATATGTTGGTGCGTGTCTGTGGTCCCAGTTACTCAGGAGGCTGAGGTGGAAGAATGGCTTGAGCCTGGGAGGAGGTTGCAATGAGCCAAGATCGTGCCACTGCACTCCAGCCTAGGTGACAGAGTGAGACCCTGTCTCAAAAAACAAAACATAATGGCCATAGATATATTGAAAAAAAGTGCAACATCATTAATCATCAGGAAAATGAAAATGAACACTTCAGTAAGATATAACCTCACAACTGTTAGGATGCCTATTATAAAAAAAAAAAAAAACAAAGATGAGCATTGGTGACAACGTGGAAAAAATGAAACCCTTGTACACTTTTGATGGGAATGTAAATTAGTGAAAAAAGTATGGGTAAAAAGTATGAAGATTTCTCAAAAAATGAAAAATAAAATTACTATACAATCCCACAATCCCACTACTGGGTATATATCTAAAGGAGATGAAATGAAATGAGAATGCCTGAGAGATAGCTATACTCCCATGCTAACCGCAGCATTATTCACAATAGCCACATTATGGAATCAATCTAAGGGTCCATTCATGGATGAATGGATAAAGAAAATGAGGTGTATATACACAATGGAATACTATTTGTCCATTTTTTAATAAAAAGGAAATCCTACCATTTGTGACCACATGGATGAACCTAGAAGTCGTTAAGTAAGCCAGACACAAAAAAGACAAATATCCCATGATCTCACTCATAAGTAAAATCTAAAAACATTGATCTTACAAAACTAGAGAGCAGAATGGTGGCTACCAGGGGCTGAAGCAGTTGGGGGAGGGAGTTCAAGGGGAAGTTGATCAAAGGATACAAAATGTAAGTTAGATAAGAGGAATAAGTTCAGGAGATCTACTGTAGGACCTGGTGACAATAGTTAATAACAACATACTGTATTCTTGAAAGTTGTTAAAAGAGTGGGTGTTACATGATCTCACCACAAAAGTGAAAACTATATGCAGTAATGCATTCGTTAATAAACTACATATAGTCATTCCACAATGCATATATACATCATACATATACATATTCCACAATGCCTATGTAGGAAATCGATGTTAGTTAACTGTATTTAGTCATTCCACAATGCATAGTGTGTGTACAACGTGCATATATGCAATACTTCATACATATATGCCAAAACATCAAGTCGTGCACACAATAAATAAAATTTTATTCATCAATTTACAAATAAAATGAAATAATTTTAAAAAGCCACCAAGCAAAATATCTCTTAAGGATCAAATTTGTCTCACTGGCCAATTTGTAATCTTAGAGTATAGAGCCAATAATAGGTCATATTTTCATGTGGATGACAATGAATAACTGTAATATGTTTTTGGCACAAAAAACATAAATGTAGCCAGGTGTGGTGGCTCTCGCCTATAATCCCAGCACTTTGGGAGGCTGAGGCAGGTGGATCATGAGGTCAGGAATTCGAGACCAGCCTGACCAACATGGTGAAAATCCATCTCTACTAAAAATACAAAAAATTAGCCCAGCGTGGTGGTACATGCCTACAGTCTCAGCTACTCAGGAGGCTGAGGTAGGAGAATTGCTTGAACCTGGGAGGTGGGTGTTGCAGTGAGCCGAGATCACACCATTGCACTCCAGCCTGGGTGACAGATTGAGACTTCATCTCAAAAAAAAAAAAAAAAAAAAAAGCATAAAAGTGTGTGTAGTATGACATTTTTTTCTGTTTACATGTATATTTATTTTATTTCCCTTCATAGTAAATGTGACGGTGTACAAGGACTGAAGCTCATAATCTCCTCCAAGTAGAAATACAATTATAAAGTTGCATATTCTTTATTGAGTTGTCAAGTTGGAAACACATTTTACCTAACTTTCATTTCTACCTTTGGGGACATCATTTTCTATTTTCTTATTTGCAAGCAATACACGGCTTTTGGGTATAAAAATAATGTCTTCCTACTATAGCCTTCCTGCCTACTCTTTGAGTACTTCATGCTCACTTCATCTTCCCTAGTTCTGAGGGAATCTTTGTTCCCTCACTACCTAGTGCATTATCAGCTCTGCTGACTGAAACATTAACATTAGCTCTGCTTCAGCTCCTGCCAAGTTGGCTGCATGGCAGCAATACCCCGTCCACAAAATGGCAGGTGCCTCATGCTCAAAGCCTGCAGGTTAGCAGACTGATACTTCAGCACTGGTGTGTGTCCAGAACTCACACATTATAGTTCAGCCATTTTTTTTTTTTTTGAGAAGTTTTCAAATTTGTCTTCAACCCCCACCTTGCTAACAGGTCTCTATTTAACTTTCAGATTTCAGATACCTTTCTTTTTATGGCTCAAATACAAATTTTCTGCAGTTTTCTCTGATTTCTTAGCCCACCATGAGTATGCTGAAATAATACATTTCATTCTACATAAGTACCTATCATGAGTTTTCAAATAAATTGTTTTGTTATATTTTGTCTTGTACTTTATCTTTACCTAAAGATAGATAGATGGTCAATGGAAGTAGAGCAGAATTCCCAAACCAATAAGCCTTTACTATTTTTAAGGTCATTTCTGGAAAACAAGTCTATCTTGGTGTAGCCTTGAATCAAGAGGAACGTTCGATTCTTACCTGTTAACCACTTGAATGTCTGGGGCTGCAGATAGACAATTTTAATTCATGCCTTAATGAGTAGAACAATTTGAGTATATTCAATATTTAATGAATGTATTTTTCAATACTGACAAAGGAATTGAGTATAAGGAAGTAAGTGTATACATTTTTGTATAATTGTACATAAAATACATTTAAGCTGATTTTAAATATTTTTCATTTTTATGCTCAAGGGAGTGAAAATACCATATGTTTTTCAAATAAAATGCCAACCACATCAATTTCATTCATTCAGAAGAAGCTTTTCATAATGCAAAATATAAACTCATTAAGTAGCTTCTCCTTGTTGCTAGGATGGGGATTGAAATCCTTGACCTTGTACAAAGGCCCAGGAGGTGTAGTCTGTAACTTTCTCTGAACTGTTACTTCCTCTTGTGTTTCCTTTTGTTTTATTCATATCCTTTGGCCTCCTTTTAGTTCCAGAAAGATGTACTGCAGCTCTCTTCATTATGATCTCAGTACATCTTTCTCTTCTCACCTGTCAGTCATGGTCTGACTCAACTTTCACTCCCACAGCTCTCTTCCCCCAGCATCTTTCTTGCTCAACTGCTGATTCAAAAACGTTTTTTACTCAGAAGCCTTCCTTGACTTCCAGGCTACATGGAATCTTTGACCCTTAGACCAGAATATTCTATAGCACCATGAAAACTCTTTCATAGCATTTATCATGGGTATAATTTGACATTCATATCTGTGACATTGTGTTTAGTGCCAGCCCTGCCCTTACCTACCCAGCCTCCTGCCACTCAGACTATAAGTTACATGAAGGCAGAGTTTCTCTACCCTTTTTCTCACCACAAATCCACTGTCTCAGCACCATGTATGACAGGTGCGATAAACATACGCTGCTTAATGAGTAAGTGTAGCTCAATCATCACATCAGATAAAGCTCATCTTGATACTGTTTTAATTACTGTATTAATTACTTGATGATACTGTTTTCAATAGTCTCTAGACCTGCTCTAACAAAAGATTAAAAAGGAGGTTCAAAAGAGCCTAAGAAGAAAATACTTACTTGTGTAAATAGGACACCCAAAATACATATTCATAAAATATTTTTGTTTTTGAGTTATAATTTCTATTCTATTTCCCTCAAATACTTCAACACTGACCATCACACTGTGGTCTTTCCTGTAGATCACAAGCCTATCCTGAAACAGAGTGTGAGTGTGAGTTATCTTCCGTAGGATGTTGGGTTTCCATAAACCTCAAGTCAGACTGCCCTTTTGTCAGCTCCCAAATTCATCATTGTATAGATATATGTTCTTAAAAATTACTTAACAAACATGTTAACATTTTCAGTTTCTTCAATCTATAAAAATGATGTCATTATAGTACCTATACCATCGGTTTTCCATGAGGATCAAATGATCTAATGTGAGGTGGCAAGCATATAACAAACACATAATACATATAATGCTATTTACCTCTTGTACAAATAGTTCTGCTTAAGTTACATTTAAATTATACCCCATCAAGGTACATAACATTAGGTTTTGTTGTGCTGAAGCAACATACACACGGAGAAAATAATTTCTGTCTCAATGATGGGTAACATGTCCTTTTCTAGTGATTATTTCTTAATCTTCCAAAATAAAGCTTCCTGAAGTCTTTAACACCGAGGAGGAATGTTTTCCACATTTTTTATATGAGACAAAAGGCTAGAAAAAGATAAAATTAAATAAATGGATTAAATGCATGGATTATTTTATTCTTCATCTACTATGATCATCAGAGCTGTTTATTTGGCATCTACACCGTTGGTTCACAGGATAGTTTAGTTAAAATGGACTAGGCAGTCAGTTTTCACTAACATTATTAAAAAACAGTCACATAATTTCAAAATAGCCAGACTTCAAGGCATTTAAGTTTTAAAAAGTAGACAAGTATTCACCAAATTCCACCACCTGCATGTTCCAGATAAATCCAAAAAAACAACTGAATATGCTCAAACATTTTCAAAAAAGAATATATTTCTATATTAAATATGTAAAATTCTACCTAAATTTGCATTCAAATTGGAAATAGTAAGTTAAGTGAAATAAATAATTGTGGTTTCTTATTGAAATGTACCTGACTTACATGTTAGATATGTTTTTTCTTTTTTAGGGTCTTCTAGATGCATGTAATCAGATGCAAGCTGACTATCTTTCCCATCAGATAAACTCTACAATGTTGACTTTGACACTGGAGATAAAACTATGCAGTGTGGCCGACATGTTGATATCTTCAGGCTATGGTTAATGTGGAAAGCAAAGGTAGGAATTTGTCATCTTTTACTCATTCTACTTTTTATTGGAGTAGAAAAGAAAGGGGGTAAGGCCCATATTAATATGCGTATTTGGGGGAAAAAACCCAAAATTTTAAAGTTTTAGGGCTATAATAATCTGGTTTTTAACAAGAACAAATTTAACTAATCAAGTTAATGAATTTCATTATTTATTTGGGATTTTGACATTTTACACCACAAGGTAGTAGAGAATACATGAACCTCGGGTGTGTTTCTAAGATGAGAACCTCTCAATGTTGTCAGGTGCCAAACAGATGTGTAAGTGTCTGAAATGCATGGGTTGTTAAGAAAAGAGGGAATAATGAAACTGGAGACTATAGTAACAGTGACTCATTCACATTTAAATTACTCTGTAGCAATGTACCATCCATATTGATGAAGTTTAACAATTTACTCTCAATTTGTTGAGCACTATTTTACAGTCTAGGCAGTCTAGGTGCTGGGGAATGCAGTGAGCAAATAAATCAAATTTCCTTTTCTCATGTAAGTTACATTTGGGAGGGTTGTGGAGGGTTTGGGTGCTATAGACAATAATCAATGAGTTAGCTAGAAATGCTATTTAAAAAAACCAAGGGAGCTTAGAGAATATAGAGTGATGACACTTCATGCATTAAGAACAAGGACTTTGGATATTGTTTTCAGTGTTACATAAAATCACTAAATGGTTTTGATCCAAGGAGAGACAGAATCAGATTATGTTGTAAAGGGAATGGTTTTGGCTTCTTATGATAAATGCATGATAGGGAAGAGAAGAGAAGCAATGTGATTAGTTAGGAGGTTCTTCCAGTGGTCTAGGCAAGACATGATGGTGGATTGACCTAAAGTGGTAGCAGTGAAACTAAAGAAAAGTAGTTGGATCCTAGAGTAGTTCTAAGGTAAAATAAATAGGATTTACTGATGGATTGGATGTAGGGTATGAGAAGAAGGGAGTGAAAGAACATTCCAACCATTTTGATCTGAGCAACTAGGAGAAAAGAGTAATATCCTGAATTTAAGAAGGTGATGGAAAGAACTGATTTGTATCATGGAAATACAATTTTTTTAAGTTAAGACTGACAGATAAAGTGAAGATGTTGAATAGTGAATTGAGATTCAGTTGGAAGTTGTGGAAGATAATATACATTTAAAATTACTACATGTAGATAGTATCTGAAGTCATGGGACTGACTGTAGGTAGAAACAAGAGAAGGGCAGGGAAAGGAAACTTAAAACATGGAAATCAAGGAGAAGCAGAAAAGATGCAACCAAGGACACTCTGAAGTGTAACCAAGTATATAAAAGGATAACAAAGAAGGTGAGGTGTCGGCCGGGCACCGTGGCTCATGCCTGTAAGTAATCCCAGCACTTTGGGAAGCTGAGGCAGGCAGATCACCTGCGGTCAAGAGATTGAGACCATCCTGGCCAACATGATGAAACCCTGTCTCTACTAAAAATACAAAAATTAGCTGGGCGTGGTGGCGCGCGCCTGTAATCCCAGCTACTTGGGAGGCTGAGGCAGGAGAATCACTTGAACCCCGGAGGCAGAGGTTGCAGTGAGCCGAGATTGTGCCACTGCACTACAGCCTGGCAACAGAGTGAAACTCAAAAAAAAAAAAAAAAGGAAAGAAAAGACAGTGAGGTGTCACCAAATCTATGGGAAGAAAGAATTTCAGCAAACAATGATACTATACCAAACTATGTGTATTGCTTGACTAAAATGAGAACTGGAAATTAAAAATTAAATACTTCATTATTGTTCAGTAGTGATCTCAGAAAATTAAATACTTCATTATTGTTCAGTAGTGATCTCAGTAAGAACAGTTGTGTGAGAATAGAAAGTGAGGAAATGAAAAAAGCGAATGTAGAAAAGTGTTTTGAGGAGATTGACTATAAAGGGCAAGACAGACACCGTGGTAGCTGGAGGGAAATGAACATCCAAAGGCATTTTTGTTTTTGTTGGTTTAGATCAGCTTTATTATAGCATACAAATATACTTTTTGTCATAGTCCAATAGATGGAAAAACATGGTTATGCAAAAAGAAAGTGAAAAACTGGAATGGGTGCTTTGTTTTACGCAAAAGGTGAGCAAGTGATGTAGTTTACAATTAAACTCCAGATAGGCTCATCCTATCTGGAGTAAGGTACAACCCATCTGTTGTATTGGGTTGATGCAAAAGAAATTTCCCTTTTTGCTACTATTTTTAATTGTTTTTTACCATTAAAAAGTGGCAAAAACCACAATTACTTTCGCACCAACCTAATAACTGGAGGAGAGACCATATACAAATAGGTAGGATGGCATACTTAGTTCTACAATGTTATTTGCTGAGTATTCCTATTTTGTCAAAGAAACAAGATCATCTAGTGAAATTGTGAGGAGTGAAGGGAAACTGGAGATTTAGTGAGTTGAATGAAAGTATGAAATATTATCTAGGCAATGGAGGATTGGCCAGGGAACTCTAATCAGACTGTGGAGAGGTGCTGAAGGTCCACTTGAGATTTGTGGTTGTAACTTTACATTAACACCGATTCTCCAAGTTGCTTTTCCCCATCTGTATTTACCTGCCCAATACAAAAATGGAATAGACAGAAATATTGATTTAATGAGGTTAGGAGACAGTCAATTAGTGACCTTTCCCTGGTACTTAAAGCAATTTATACAACACTTCCTTTTCCTATTAACACTTTCAACATATGTAACTTTGACTAAATATAAACATATTATAGACTCAAACTTAATATTCTCTAGTCCTAATGAACATAAAAGTATGATGTTATATTTAAAATAAGTAGAGCTTAGGTGTCTTTGACTCTTCATATAACTCTAATAGCAGGGGAAATTTGAAAAATACCAGAAGAATATTGTAATTTGCAAAGAACCTAGACAAGTCATTTAAATTCTCTCAGATTCAGGCTCTTCGTTTGTACAATTATGTGTACCTATCTCTTTATACAGATACAGTTGAGTTTAAATAAAATATTACATATAAACACTTATACTGCTATAATTCACCATATAACCTAAAGAGTTATCATTGTCACAAGTTATTTTCAATTAAGATAAAGCACAATTTTTATATTATCAGGCTTGGGGCATCTTGATACTTTTTTATGACACCTTTCAGCTTCACAAGCTTTATACATTTTAGCTTTACAAGCTGAAAAAAACAAATCAACATAATGAAAGCATGCCTGGTTTTCATTTGTAAATGCTAAAACAACCCAGAATTTAAACAGGAAATCCTTTCAGAAACTGCACCAAATCTACCAGAGACAAGAGGTGACAGTAAATACTGAGTCAAAATTACTAAGAATGATTTTAATGAAGTTTATTATGTACTGCTATTTTGAAAGGACAATAGAGAAAAGAATATGAAAGGAGACATTTATGAAAATCATCAGAATGTGGTCAAATGTTCAGCATAATTAATTGTTTTGTTACAATTATAGGATCAATATGAAGATAGTCATTGCATATTCATGTCTCACACCTATTACATAAAAGCTTATGGTGGAGTCAAGAATTCAATCATAATTATCTATGATTATGGTCATTGTCATATGACACGAATCATATGAAAATGGCCAAAGTCACAGACTAATATTTTAACTCATCTCACGTTTCATGATTTTGGTCACAAGAAAATATAAATGACTAAGTAAAGGAATATAATTTAAATTCTGCAGAGGATTTTTTGGTTCTTGAATTTTTAAGAACTGTTCCAAGTATAAGCTGCTTCCATTGCCAGTGTGTTTACCTTTATTCAATCTGTGGTTATTTAGGTCATCGTTATTTGCATCCAATGTTTAGATGATTCCATTGATTTTTAGAACTCTATGAATCCCAAATTATGGTTCCATTATTTTCCTAAATATCTCTCAAGAAAACTGCCACCTTTCTAACTGCAAATTGCAAGTGGTTTCTCAAGTCAAAATTCTAACTGAGGTGACAAGAATATTTGGCAGTCCCACCATTACCATGTACTCTATGACATTTCAGGAATAAAAAACATGTTAGAAACATAAAAATGTGTTAGTACTTTTTTAGGTCTCTTTTTCACCTTTATTAATAGTGATAATGGGTCAAGCTACCTGAAGTCAATATTGATTCTCAGATGTGAATACTTATCTATTGCCTAAAAGATCCATCTACTTCAGGATCAGGGTCTGCAGATACAGTTTCTCCAAATATTATACAATAAAAATTATATGTTCTGCACCCTCCTCTTGCCCATTATTTATGTTTAACTGAAATAACCAACAAGATTTTATAAAGCTATTTCTTTCACCCCCTTCCTAGTCCTCTATAGAAAGACGGACATTAGGTTCTGTGTAGATCAAAGGTTTGACATGAACTAAAAGAATCTTTCATGTATTATTAGCCCTACTGTTTAATTTGAACTCATTTCTTTTGTTAGAAATTTGGTATTCCAAAAGCGAAGACATCATAGAAATCATCCATCAAGAACCTATTATATAGACAACATTCTGATGCAGATATCTATATAATCAGTAACACAGGATTACACTTGGCAATTATATAAACTTTGAAGTTTCCCAGATAATTTTTATTATTCTAAGACATGCATTCTGTAAATTCTTTTCCTGGAGATTTTTAAATGGACAATTTGGAATTTTGGGTAAACTTAAAAGACTTTAAAGCTCAAATTTTTGCACCCGTGCAGCCTTGTGTAAATTTTGGACACTGATAATCCCAATGTTTCTCAACCCACTTCTATACAGATAGCATTTTGTAAATATTTTTATAAAGCTTATCAAATTTGTAAGAGGTTACCAGTTCTCAAATATAATAGCTTAGCTGCCAATCAAAGCATGTAGCTTGACCTAGCTTAAATAACAGAGTATATACCTAAATACTTGTCATGAGGTTCAACCTTGAACAAATGTTCAGCACTTACCAAAATATTTTTTAAAGAAGTTATAATTATGCAATTATCTAAATGATCATATAGTTCATCAATAAAAGCG